ACTCACACACACAACACACACACTCATACACACACAACACACACTCATTCACACACTCAACACACACAGCACACTCACACACACACTCAACACACAGCACACTTTCACACACACACAACACACTCACATACAGCACACTCACAATACTCACACTCACACACGCACACACATGTGTGTGATACACACACACGCACACACACACACACACGCACACACACACACACGGAGTAACCGCTGTGACTCCACAGCCTCTGAATCAGGCAAAGGACAGTGTCAGAGGACTGTGATGCCAGAAGTTCTATAAACCTGAGAGTTCAAGTCTTTTTTTTTTAAGAGTAGAGCCCTGTTTTACTCTTCTCTCTTCCCTCATATTCAACCAAGTTGCTTTCAGATGCTGAAGTAAGCTCCTTGAGGGAAAAAAAGCTGTGCTTATATTACTTTGTGTCCCTACAGTACTTAAGAGTTTTCCATTCACATAGTAGAGATTAGTCAATTCTTTGTAATTTTTAGAAGTCTAACAAAAAATATTCCAATATACATGTAAACACTAAAAATTTCTACACTGTTTCCATCTTTTGAAAATTCATTTATGTCATCCTAGTAGAATGGGAGACTGTTACCCCCATTTAGGTAACAGGTTTTGAAAAACTGATGGGGTGGGGGAGCAGGAAGAAAAGCAAAAACAGTAACTCAGCTGCCTGGAAAGAGCCATAGGTTTGGTCCTGCCACTGTCCTAGCCCCAGACTCTCCCAAGCTGTCTCGTGGCCTTTTCTGGGCTGTGGGACATTTTGGGGACAAGCTGTGAGGCAATCAGACTTAACAATGGCCTTGTTCCCTGGGAGGCACTCAGGACTCCCTAGCAGCAGATATTCTTCTCAGGCATTGTCTGCTCAGCGCAGGAAACCAGCTGAAGCGTTGACAGCTCCCCTATCTGAGGCCTGGGGTGAGCTCAGCTCTCATGCAAATGCTCTGAACTCTTGCCAGGAAAGGCATGACATTTCAAGTGTGGCCAAACGATGTGTTTGTTTCTTCTCATTAGTCTGATAATCAACTGGGCATTTACCATCTCGGGAACAAAAATATTCAGATTATCTGACAAGTATTCACGTAACTATGTTCTGATGGGAACGTGTGTCCTGGACGATGAATCCCTAGTGTCTTGTCTTTGAACGTCTCTCCACCCTCTTCCAGTCGGGAGGAACCGGAAGCACCTGCTCCCACCTGGTCCTTTCCCTGTTTGGAAGATCTTCCAATCTTGCCACTCACTGAAATCTTTGGAGATGCTATTCTTCCTCAAGGTCCTATGGCCTCCATTGATGACACTAAATGTGCTCCTATTGCCTGTACCTCTTTCAGACCCAGGCTCATTATGCGTAATGATGCCTTACATACAGATGCCTGTGTATCCTTAGTCCTGTGGGTCAGAAAACTCTAGGGCAGTGGTTCTCAACCTTCCTAACACCGTGACCCTTTAATACAGTTCCTCATGTTGTGGTGACCCCCAACCATAAAATTATTTTCGTTGCTACTTCATAACTGTAATGTTGCTACTGTTATGAATCGTCATGTAAATATCTGATATGCAGGATGTATTTTCATTGTTCACGACCCACAGTTGAGAACCGCTGCTCTAGGGAGTTTCCAGTCAGGCACAGATGCACGTGCATGTATATGTGCGCGCACACACACGCACACACAGAACAACAATACCATCAGATAAT